AGTTACTTCAAAATCAAACAATCCCATGAGCATTATACTCTTGTGACTATGGAAGGGCAGAGTCTGGCCGATGAGAAAGACTAAAGGAGAAGTAATTCCCACCGTAAGGTTATTTTGTCTTGCTTTATGTCACGGAAATCTGTCACATATTCTCTTATTAACAGGAGCTTTTGCTTTGTTTTATTTTATTTTTGACATGGGGCCTCAAATTCAATATGTAGCAAAAGCTAGCCCCAGGAGAAGCTTGAACTTCTGATCTTCCAGTCTCCACATCCTGGGGTTATAAGTAAGCTTCCTCACACTAAGCTTTATGCAGGGCTCAAGACTGAATCCAGGGCAAGCACTCAGTGAACAAAGCAACATTCCCAACCCAGACGCATTCTTTCTGTAATTAACATTTGATAAACAACTTGTTTGTTTGTTTGTTTACAGTACTGGGGAGGAAACCCAGGGCCACAAGAATACTAAGTAAGCATTTAACCTCTGAACCACCAGCCTCCTTCAGTTGGTCACACAATTCCCGCTTTAATTTTTATTTACATGTATTTACTTATGTGTGTGTGAGGCCATGCCACAGTGTACAAATTGATATCAGAAAGCAGCTTACTGCAGTTTACTCCTTCCACTATGTAAGTTCTGGGATCAAACCCAAGCTATCAGGATCGACAGCAAGAGCCCTCACCTATTGAGTCATCTTGTGATTCCCATATATTTCCCATTTAAAAAATAAAGTCACATGGGGTTAAAAAGAGCTGAACTCATTTTGATTGTTTTGATTGACTGGTGTTAGAAAGAAAAGAGGGAGCCTGAGGTGTCCTTCTACTGCTGGGCATACCTCTGTCCTCAAAAAGCTACGCTGGCATCTCTGCCCTAGTGAGACACCAGCCAGACACTACCATTCCCAGGAGAGACCAGCACTCAAGAGTTTTCCTTAAGAATCTGGCAAGGAATGACAGAGTGCAGGCCAGGGGTGCTTGGAATGTCCCACCCACCTCTAGTGAGCAGCAACTCTGCTGTGGTGATGAGTGTCGGCAGAGTCTGGGATATGAGGAGTAGCTGTTTTTCATTATTGATGTGTAGCCCTATATGGAAAAAATCTGACACCCAGATAGCCAATGATTAAAAATGGCCTTTTCCCTCCTGCAGTAACCATCAATTCCTTTAAGCATAATTGAAAAGTGTTTACCTTTCCTTAGTTCCCCAAGTCTGTGAAGTATGTTTCAGTGTTGCGTCTAAGCCATCAGGGAAGGCAGTGCTGTGGGACTCTGCTTGCTCACAAGGTGATGCCAATGGCTACTTTGTTCCCAGAGTATGTCAAATGCTAATCATTCTATACTCTCAGCACAGGCTATTTCCAACACATTTTCATAGAGCCAACCTAGGGGCTCTATACTCGGCAGGTAGTTCCAATTTTTGTGCTTGGTCTGGTCCTGGGTTCTCAAAGTTTGCTGTGTTTAGGACTGGTCTGGACATTTGGAGTACAGATTCCAGAAGCGCGCGCGCGCACACACACACACACACACACACACAATGAGAACTCTGATGATGTTATTTGTAAATAAAGCCAGGAACGTACCAGTCAAGCCTTTTCAGTGGCTCCTGGACTAGAGAACGCTTCAGGGAAACTGGTGTCTACTTTACAGGGAAAAATAATGAGGTAGTACAGTCTCTGAATTACTTTAACACATACCAATAGCTAATCAAATTTTATGGCACTGTTGACACAATGCCCTTTCTTTTCTGTACATAATCACCATTTTTGCCTTTCCACAACAAGTCAACAAGCAGGAATCAAACTTTTACCAAGAACATTAATCTTTAAACAAATATGACAATTTGGCAGTGTTTTACAGACTAAAGGGGAAAAATCAGGGAATACCTGTATTATCCAAAGGACACTTTGTAGCCATCAGAGAAGAGCCCTGAAGGAAGGGCACAGGATTGCTGCTCTAGCTCCTTGAAAGGCATCAAGTCAAAGAAACCAAGGTTTTTGTCGGGCGTTGATGGTGCACGCCTTTAATCCCAGCACTCGGGAGGCAGAGGCAGGCAGATCCCTGTGAGTTCGAGGCCGGGCTGGACTGACAGCCTCCAAAACAATACAGAGAAACCCTGTCTCGTAAAACCAAAAAAAAAAAAAAAAAAAAAAAAAAAAAAAAGAAACCAAGGTTTTGTCTTTCTTTTTTCTTTTCTAGATTTCTTTAAACAGACTCTTAAGTATCCTTTCTCTGGTCATTGCACATCTGCCTCATGACTCAATAATCTAAGTTCCTTCCTGAGTCTGTGAAATCTCTTGTCCAGGACTCAGAGGAAGGTGGGGACACTGAGCATCCGGGCTGGGTCCCAGCATGTCATGTCCTCTACAGCTTATGTTTATAACACTATTGTGATGAAAGTTGTTTTCCACCTTATTCTAAATTTTACAACATATAAGCAATGGGTATTTCCCCGATGCTGCATTTTAACCCTTCAACATGAAGAAGATGAGAGAAATGGAACTGAAGATTTCTGAAAAATGGATGATGACTGTGAGCCTGGGAGGTTAGGTGAAGGCATGGTATTCCTCTATGATCAAAATAAAATATATCCAGGTGTTTTCTGAATCGCCAAGGTCAGCCTTATGAAGAAATGTTCTCTAACATAAAACGATAATCACAAACACATGTGCATGCATATAAATGTGCATATAAAATAGACTGCATGCATATATACTTAACTTTTATAATTATTTTCACAGACTGTTAACATTTTACTTATTATGTATTTGTGTGTTTATTTATTGTTGTGACAGAGTCTTGTTATGCAGCCAGGCTGACATGAACTAGTCATTCTCCTGCCTCAGGCCCCTGAGGGCCGGAGGCACAGTCTTTAGATATTTATTGATGCATGTCTGTTTTCACAACAGGTCTGCACACTGGTGACCAGTGTGGAAATTGGCTAAATGGATCTCCCCACTACCTTTCACCTGTCTTCTTACACCTGTTGCTCAGATGATCACCCACCCACTGTCCATTTAAACCTTTCCTATTCTCAGATCTTCAAAATCTCCCCACTTCTGTTCCCAACCCTCTTCCCCCCAACTCTAACCCTCTCCCATGCTACTACTGTCTCCTTTCTGAATAGTTTGCCTTCTGTTTCTTGTGTGAAACATGGCCTTAGATATTGCTAGAATCTACTGGAGTAGGGCATGTGTTACACCAATCCTAACAAAAGGAAATTCCAGCACTTAGAGAGGGGTCCAAGGGAGTTTAGGAAACACAAACATCCTTGGAATTGTGAAGTTGCTTTCTTTTGAATAGAAGGATTTCAGTATTAGTCCTTTCCCTAGCTAATTCTGTCTTGCCCAGTTTTCTGCTAAAATGTTAGAATTTCTTCTTGCTTGGTCTAGCTTCTTAGTATCTCAACAATGTTGCTTTCTACTGCAGCTGTACCGTATCTTAGCTCCATTATGAAACTTTGGTGGGGTTGACCCAGAAACTCAACGACAAGACATTGTGTTCTGGGAAGACACATCTTAATCTCAGTTCAATAGCTGATAAATGGTCTTGCAGGAATGTTTGGATGCCTGGGGGTAAGCATACAAGGACATAGATACATAGAGTCTGTGGATATAGAGTCTATGTGATTGTGTGCTTAGGAAAGAGGTACTTGCATGTGTCTTCAATGGCTAATCTTGGCTGTCAACTTGACTACATGTGAAATTAACTAAAACTCGAGCAGCTGGGCACACCTGCAAAGGATTTTTCTTGGTTGGATCATTTGAGGTCAGAAGACCTACCCTACATCTGGACACTCCTTCTGGTAGCAAGCCAAATAAAAGGACACAAAAGAAGGAAGGTTTTGCTTTTTGCCTACCTGCCCTCACTCTCATCGGACAGTTCATCTATCCTGCTCTTGATCCGTTTCTTCACTGGTGTTAGAACCCACTTCTTCAGGATTCCAATGTAGACGAGAAATCTGAAGCTCTGAAGAACCTCCCTGGGAGTCCAGTATCACCCGGGACTGCTGAGACATCCAGTCTTGTGGGCTGAACAACTCCCAGAACCTTGACCTTTCTGTCAGGAGACAGCCAATGTTGGATTACTTGGGCCATATGCATGTATATATGTATATACTTTTTAGATTCCTTTAGTATCCTGCAACAAAAGCTTATTAGTTTAAGGAGTTGGCAATGCATTGAAGAAACCCATCCCTGCATGATAGCTTTCTAAAAAGAAGTGACAACACAATCGGTCCTTTGCTTTGTTGGGTCTGGGTTAGCCAATGTTCCTGAACTCTCTCCTACTCCTCAGCAAAGTTTATCGTCTTATGTTCTCTCTTTGCCCTCCAAAGTCTAAACTTGAGCTCTCTGGACTGGTATTTCAAGAGAGAAACAAGAGGCCAGGCTGGTGTCATGGTATCAGGAAGTATTCAGTGGGATCTAACCTCTCCCACGAAGCCCCTTCTATGTCCACACCCAGAATGTGGCAAATCCTTGCCTATACTATCCCTATTCTTGCCTTCCTCACCTCTCCCAGGACAGGATGGGACAGTGACGCTCCATGGCGCCTAGTCCTTAAAGACTAGCCTGCTGTCCCTCACTTCTGCCTTTCCTGTCATCGTGTGTGTGTGTGTGTGTGTGTGTGTGTGTGTGTATGACACTCATGTCTGTGCTTTATGTGTCTTTGTATATTCATGTGTGTTTATGCTATCTGTGTGAATGTCTGTGTACATCAGTGTGTGACTGAATAAGTGTGTTCTTGTGTGTAGGTGTGTGTAGAGATTTACTCAGGGTTGATGTGGTCTAAACACAAGTGACAAGAAAAGAGGGGAAAGGACGGGCAGCCCTGTGCCAGCTGTGCCATTCTCTGACTCGGTCTCTGAAGCTCCCGCATCAGTCTGGGTCCAGGTGCAGCCTTCTCCCTCCAGAAGCCAGCGCTCTCGAAGGACGGTGGGCGGAGCTATGCGGGGCGGTGGGCGGAGCTATGCGGGGCGGCGGGCGGGGCGTGCGGCTGCGCTCCGAGCATGCTCCGCCGCTGGGTAGTAGCAGGCGGGGCGGCTCGTGCTGGTCCCCGGCCGGCCGAAGCGGCAGCGGCTGCGGCGCGGGACAGTGTGCGGGAACCGCTCGGTAAGTCCTGGCAGCTGTCCCTTTGGCTCGCTCCTACGGCGTCCCACGGGCCCCGCCTCAGCCCCCAGCGCGTGCCCCCAACTTCTCTAGCCCGGACATTGTTGGGTCCCTGCCTCAGCGTGAGGGGACGCCCGCGCCGCGGGTGGCAGCCCGGTCCCACGTCCCGAGGGCTGCGGTCCCAGTTCAGGTGCCCAGCTCGGGGAGGAGGCCCGGCTGGCGTTGGCTCTCATGGGCGTGGGTCTCGTGTGGGCCTCTTCCTCGTCCCGTGCCGCGACCTGGCGGACCCTCCATCCCAGGACTGACAGCCCCGCTTCCCACGACTCTCTGGCCCGCGGGACCGGCGGTGGGACGTCGGGAGTGGCCGCGCCCGCTCGGGTCCCCGCCCGGCCCCGCCGCCCGCCGGGGAGTGGCTGGCAGTCCGCTAAGCGGCTCAACGGGACGGAGCCGCCCGCGTCCCCACGCCCAGACCAGCCACAGCCTCCTCGCGCAATCCCTAGACCTGGTGGCCCGGGACACTAGCCTCCGAGCACCCACAACCCCGTAGACGCTGAGCTCCTCGGGTTCCTCTTGGGGAGGAAAATGTCTATCTGGGGGAACTTGGGCCAGCTCAGCCTGGCCGTGCCCCAGCCGGGTCTTATCCGTGCTCCGCTGTGGTCTCTGCTCAAGTCTGCACGGCCCTGGCTGGACCACACAACTCTCAGGCTTTTCCTGTCCGGAACAGTTTAATCTGTTTCCCCTACCGATTCGTGTTTTCTTTCTTTAGATTTTTGCCTTTTTAGACTCGCAAAGAGAAGATATATAGGGATTGGGAGTGAGCGTTAGAAGATGGGAGGAGCCCTGAGGGAGGTGAGAGGTGGGATTCTGGCACCCAGAAACGCTTTGCATGGACGATGGGAAAGAAAAAGTAGACTATATTCAGTAGTCTAATCACAGCCCAAGTAACTCCAGGAACCAGTCTTTGTCAGGTGGACCGAGACCATCTAACATAACAGGAACACCTACAGAAAGGACTGTGGGAGTCTTGTGGAGGTTTCTTTCCATGGGAGTTATGCTGGACTTTTTCTGTGAAATTGGGAGTTTGAAATTTGTTCTTCATTGGGCTTATCTTAACGGTTTGTCTAATCTCTATCATCCCTTGAGCAAACTGAAGGTCTCTCCCTGTTATGCTGGGCAGACCACACGGGGCAAACTTTCACTCCTACTGCAATGGGCAAGCAAACATTTGTTGGCCAGAGGCCTTTAATCTGTGGGGCCTTTCTCCTGCAAACCTCTGCTGCTGAGACCGGGAGGTGAGTGCCCTGAGGGCCTGAGGGATTTAGGGAGATAGAGTAGTGGAAGAAGTCTGTTGTCAGGAGGGAAGAGTTTGTTTTTCCAGCCTCATGGAACATAGGCCATGCCTGAGCCGCCAGCCACAAGCTCTGGAGGGCTTGACAGGCTCATCAGAGTTATCTGATAACTCATCTGAGAGGTCAAGGCTTCCAGAGGCCAGCTGGGTATTGTTCCCTCACTATAAAAAGGTAACTGGCCTTTGGAGATAGGCAAGAAAAATAGATAACAGGTCATTTTTTTTCCAGTTGAAAAAAACAAATCTGAGAGGATAGTAGAAATCTGCTCTGTAAGATGCAATTTAAAGATAAATCCCATCTTTACTGTCAGCACCTAAGCTGAAGCACAGACAGAAGTTAGTGGCTCCTGTAGGTCCCCTGTCCTTGCTAGGAGAGTCTCTCCTTTGGAAGAACAGCAAACAGGGAGCATGGTCCGAGGCCAGTTTCTGTGTTAATGAGCTTGGCGAGACTTGACGGTAATTAATCTGGAGAGTTCAGAACATAGTGTTGGGCTGAATCAATTGTTCTGTTGTGGGTTTTTCTTGATAAGCCAAGATTTTATCTCTGAACCTACCCCTCCCCTCCCTGGGCTGTGGCTAAACCCTTGCTGCAGTTTCTTTTGGTTGTAGCAGATGTTAGTTTTCACCTCTTGGGTGGGAAGGGTTATCTCCCTAGTGGAACCTTGGCTTCCAGAGCCTGACTGGCTTGATGAATGCTGAGAGATACTAGTTTCTTAAAGCCAGAAACCAGGGAAAGGAAGACCCACCCACCCCTTTAAGTGCAGACCCCTCCCATTTATATTAATTTGCATTTGGAGGATCTGGTTTAAAATGTATTTTCTATAACTGTATCTCCTGAGGACTTTTAGAGGATGTGATTTAGATACAGGAAGATTTATTGTCAGGCTACTTTCTCATGAGCTTTTGGCTGTAGTTAGTCATGCCTTTATAGCATAACTGATGAAGCTGAACTCTTCTGCACAGTCACACTTTTATAGGCAGGCACGAAGATACGTGTTAAGCAGGCATCTGCTGGGGGAGGTGGGGAGTCAGCCACTGGCTCCTGTTGTCACAGCCAGGTCACCGGGAACCTTTCCTTTCTTTCGCCGAGTCACTGAATTTTTTAATAACTTTTGAAATAGCTCCATGACTTTTATAATTAGTAAGTAAAACTTGCATGAAATAATTTGAGCCTTCATATTTTTTATAAAATGTTGCCTTTTTATTCTAAAGGTATTTTTAAATAAATAAAAATAACAGAACTAATACATTACAAGTGTAATAAAAGCTTGTCCTGGAACAGTTGGTATATGATAATGGGATAAAATTAGAAAATTTCAAGCTAATACAGATTTTATATTTTCCCCCAAACACAGAGTATTAAAAAGAAAACTCTTACTCTTTTTTTTTTGTCTTTTCTTAATGACAGAAATGTCAATGTGGTACTTAGGGTCTCATAAAAATGAAGTAACTAAAGTACTAATTGTGTGACACAGAAGTTAGAGGTGTGTGTGTGTGTGTGAGAGAGAGAGAGAGAGAGAGAGAGAGAGAGAGAGAGAGAGAGAGAGAGAGAGGAGAGGAGAGGGAAGGAGGGAGGGAGAGAGAAAGAGAGAGGTGGTGTGGTATGTATGGTATGTGTGTGTATGTGTGATGTGGTATGTATGTGTGTGATGTGTGTGTAATGTGTGTGTGTGTGTGTGTGTGTGTGTGTGTGTGAGAGAGAGAGAGAGAGAGAGAGAGAGAGAGACCCTAGTGAGGAAATGGGGAGTTAGAAGAGGCAATCCTTACTTAAAAACTGAAGTGCATGGTATTTGGCACTGTTTCCCTTTCTTTTAAAAACCACTTTCTTAACAGCAGTCCCACTATCACCATTAACAGTGTGCCAAGACCATTTTTATTTTAACCCACTTTTCCATCTGTTTTTTTTTTCCTTGTCACCTTGAGAAAAGTCAGTTCAATGGTGCTTGTCTTACCAAAATTATCACTTCACAAACTGCATATGCTCTTCATGGCTTCCACAAGTTGAACAACTTGGGAACATGTTCATGAGAACTTCTTGTCTCAGGACTTAAAATGGGACTATGCAGTTATTTATTTAATAATTAAGATTAGAGAGGGAAATGACAGTCCCATTGTTCGTGATTAAAATACATAATTCATCCACTGGGGGAAAAAGCCACAAGAGAAAGCCTTACAAATGCACATATCACTAACAACATAACCCATTCTGGCTTGTTTTCTGTCTTGGCTATTTACCCCTTGTTTAAAGAAAGCACTTTGTTATATATTTATCATAACATTAGACCTAAACGTTGTCAGTTGAAGAAATATTTACACTGAACTGCCAACAGTTTAAGGGACCAATTACATCTTAAGTGTGGAATGTCAGTGGATACAGCTGAGGAGTTTGAGGGGTGTTTCTTTAGAGAGGAACACTGTCTAGGGAACTGTTAGAATGCAGCTTGTGATCTTGTATTGGATTCCATCATCAGAGCATGTGACTTGAAGCTTCAGGAAGCAGGTAAGGAGCCTTGGGCAGATAGGACATGTGCATCATACCAGAATCTCCTATCATTCTCCAGCCCTTTATTCTTTTCTCCAACTTCTCTTTTATGGCCATTGATTCTTCCTGATATGAAATATATTTTCAAGGATACCCACCTACACAATCCTACCTAAGCCATCCTTTGTTTTTAAAAGTTTTTTTTTTAAAAAAAACTGGAATACAAACAAAATTACTAGAAAGAGACAACCATTCACTTATCAAATTACTAAAGCTTTTAAAAATCAACATTGCAGGAGGTAAGATACCTGAGGAACTAACTGCATTACTACTTATTGACAGTATAAATAATTATATTAAACTAGCACCTTACATTGATAAAATTTAAGTTATGAGTCTGATAACTGCTCATGAGTGCTGATTAATGATAAAATAGTATATTGGGCTAGAAAGGTCTCAGTGGTTAATACTCATTGCTCTTACAGAGGATCCAAGTTCAATTCTCCACATCCATGTCAGGTGTGACATTTCTCTGTGCCTGAAAATACAATTTTATACATGTTTGTTTGTGAAAACTTCAATCCCTAATAAACTTAATGTCCCATCAAACAAACATGAATGTTATGAAGAGAACTATATAAAGAGCATTAAATTTATGTATATGCACCTCTGCTTATGTCATTAGGATGGATCCCAAAAAGTGAAATTATCAGTCCATAGGGTTTCAGAGCTCTTACTACTTATCATCTGATCATTTGTTTTGTTTTGTTTTCCTGAGGGGTAATCTAGCTGTGTGGTCCAGGTTGACTTGTCAAACCTCTTGGCTCAGCCTCCCATTGGATTTAAGACTCCTAATCACTGCTGAAAAAGAAGTTATCCATTTGCATACAACCCTCCCACACATTCAAAACACACAGACAATGCTGTGCCCTCATCAGCAGCAAACATGCTTTTACAAATGTATGGGGTTGGAGAGATAGCTCAGTAGTTCAGAGAGTCTATTGAGATCAGTCTCCTGCTCCCATAACAGGTGGTTTGCAACTACCTGACACCCCCTTCTGGTGTTCTGAGGGCACATACACATAAATAAAATATTTTTTAAGCTTTGATAATCTGGGGTGTGAATCGTCACATTTGGTTTAATATGTATGTATTCAACAATTTAGTTTAATT